GCCCGCCTTGGCCTCGTGGGGACGGAAACATCCCGTCCCCGCCCGCCCAAGCTGGGTCAAGGAGCCCGCCGGGCTGAGGCGCACAACGGCCCCCACGCCCCGGGAACTGGCTCTCCCGGTTCCTTCGGGGTGACCTCACCTGGCCCCACCCTCTCAGGTGAACGGCCGGGCCGATGGCGTCATTTCCTGCCAGGTAAGCTCCGCAGGAGGCTGAGCTCTGGGAGGTTTTGGAGGTCAGTCCCTCACACAGCTTCTAAAAATGTCATTGTCTTACCACTTTTCTCGCTGCATCTAAGCCTTGAAAAACTTAGGATCCCAGTTTTACACACAGATTGTTTATTTAAAAATTTTAAAAACAAAAATAATTTCCGAACTATATATTAATATATTATAGTAACTTACAATAATAATAATACCATCGTTTCTATTACAAAAAGGAAGAATACAGGGGAAGCAGACGACCTAATATATATAAATACTATAAAACCTTATTAGAATAAATAAAGTCGTCATAAATAAAGGGCCCACTGTTTGGGGGTTGGGACTTGGCAATGGCTTTGGCTACTTGCTTGTAGAGGGAAATTTGAGCACCAGGATTCTCCCTCAGGGGAGGCTCCAATCACCAGACACTGGAAACTCAGGTCTAGGAAAAACTGGGAAGGGGCCTACTATTCACAGCGCTTAAGATTCCTGGAGACAGGGTTGAGAGCTCACAGCCCCCTCAAACTCGCTACATCTTTAGAAGCTCGGAAGACGCTCCACCGTGAACACTGACAGGGCTTGCACCCTGGGGGCCTGCCCCAGTGTGGCACCAGGGGAGTAGGTTAATGCATTTTGGAATGTGGGGGGAAGGCCATATGATTAGATTGGGGGTCCCCCCAGGTCCCCACAAATGTCTCCCCCTTCAGGCCCGGCTGATCTGCTGTAAGTGGGCACCTGTCACTCAGAAACAGAGATGCGATTGAAGATGGGGAGCCGCCTTGGGGCTGAAGGGGGCTGGGGCGTAAAGACCCCAGTCTCGAAGACAGGAGAGTCGGATCCCCCCAGGCTGCTGGCGCTGCTGGCGTATTCATCAGGATCAGATCCCAGGGAGTGTGCAGAGGGGCTTCGAGCCAGCCCCCAGACGCTGCCTGGAGTGGCCCTTCGGCAAGAGGGGCAGCAGCCGGGAGCGGGTTCCTTCCGGGCCACAGGGGTCCCGGGGGCAGCAGAGAAGGCAGAGGGTGAAAGCAGAAAATCAACAGCAGGTGGTGGTGGGGAGCTGGAGGGTGAAAAGGAACATGAGGACAGAGAAGGGCCCATCAGGCCCTGTGGCGGTGGCGAGGTTCGGTGGCCTGAGGGCAGGCCGGAGAAGCTGATGCTCTGACGTAGCACTTGTGGAGACTGGACAAAGACAGCCTGGTCCTCACTGGGGTTGTGGATGAAGTGACAGCGTGAGCCATAGGGGCAGCGGCCCTGGAGGTAGAACTTGTGGCAGAGTTCCGTCTTGTACTTGGGGTGGCGACTGGCCTGGCGCAGCTCACCCCTGCCATGGGCAAACTGGCACTTCGCCCCGTAGCGGCAGCGCCCACTCTCGGAGAATGTCCGACAGAGCTCAGTCTTGTATCGAGAAGAGGTGGTAGGAGTCCCAGTCGGCGAGGTGGGTGAGGGCGACAGTTCGGGGCCAGGGCGGGGAGCCAGGGGTGCGAAGCCAGGGGGTGGGGGTACCCAGGCACAGCTACGGCCCTCCACCAGGCTGGTGGAGCGGCCCGGCAGGCGGGAAGTGACCCCAGAGGGGCCAGAGTCAGGTGAGTTCAGGCTCCAGATTCCCGAAGACTCAGTTTCTCCGTGGTCAGATGACAAGTCAGGGCTCAGCGACAGGAGGCTCTGTGGGAAAGGGTTTGGTAAGGACACCAGAAATGCCCTGCCCCAGCTGCAGGGCACTTCAAGAGCCTGCCAGTCCGGTTTGTGGGCTCCAGACCTGAGCCCCACCTGATCGCAGAAACTTGTACATTCTCCAGGGATCCAGATATGAAAGTCCTCAATTTACCCACAGTGAAGGCAATCCGGAGGAACCCAGAAATCCTAGCTTACACAAATGGAACCAAAGGGATCCCTAACGCCAGAGCCCCAACTGTTCCCCGATTTTGAGCCTCAGGGCCTTCCTGGATACAACCGGGCATCTGGTGGTACAGTTTCACAACTGACTCCGCAGTTTTAAGACTTCCAACAGAACTGGGGCCCGGGCGTGGGGACATAAGTCAGCTTCCCCAAACTGAGACTTCAACCCCAGAAACGTCTCCGCGCAAAACCGCCCTCAACAACTAGGAGTGAGCCAGGTGTGGGGCCACTTCCGCCTCCAGAAAGCCCTACACTTTGAGAAAAGTGCGCCAGCTTTCCTCTCTCCAGGGGCCGCCTCACCCGGGTTCGGACCGACACCCAGGAGTTGCAGGCTCCATTTTTCACCCGGAGAGAAACCAAGCTGGGCTGAGAAGGAGAGCAGGCGGCTTTGGCTGGAGTATAAGGCACTAAAGAACTAGGGAGCCAAGTACGCTTGGCGGAGACTTACCTCATAGATGGCAGTGAGATCCATGGCGGCGCGGGTGGCCAGGAAGAGATGGCCCAAACTCGGAGCGTTGAAGGAGAGCTGCGGAGGGCAGTCTGAGCCCGCTTTTTATAGGTCAGAAAGGGGGCGGGCCCGCGGGGGCGGGGCCAGGGGGCGCTTCCCGGACGCTCTCCAGCGGCAGAGCCGGGCAGGCCTCCAACTAGTCCCCTTCCTCCCGCCCCCGGCAAGGATTCCCTGAACTTGGCCGGCGGGCAGCCGCGAACCGGAGGGTAGGGAATGGGGTAGGGGCCTCTGTCCAGTTTTCAAGGTTAGACATTGATTGGCGAAAGGAACTGGGGCATAGGTGGGGCACAGCTGCAGGAGCCATTGACTAGGGCAGAGGCCAACGCGAGGCTCGTGGAAGACAGACAGGGGCGGGGAGAGATAAGCTGGAAGAAACCGAGATATGGAGAGAGACCGAGAGAAAAACACAGAGACGCAGCAAGAGATAGACACACAGAGGGAGAGACAGGGTGAGAAGGAGGGGGCGGGGAGACAGGTGACAGTCCTGGAGAAAAAAATTCCGAAAAAGCCAGTTTAGAAAGACTGAAGAGACGAGGAAAATGAGGAAGTCACTAACACACACCTTCATACGTGGAAATCTGCAAAGGGCAAAAGGCTAGAGTAAGAGACCACCAGGCCTGGAAGGGAATTCTCTTGGAAGACTTCACCTGGAGCAGATCAGGAGACCTGGGGACAGGGGATTTAGCTCAGTGACACCGTACCAGACTTGCAAGCACAAGGTCCTGAATTTGAACCCAGTAACAAAACAAAACAAAAAAACAGACCAGGAGACCTGGGATACCTTACTTGTCTTGTCTCCCATTTTAGGAATTTGTGTGGGGTTGGACTATCTGGCAAGGCTGAAAAGGGGCCATCGTAGCCCTATGCTAAGCCCTTCTGATTTCCTTGAAGTGGGCATTTTCTCAATCTCCACCAAATCAAGTTATCCAGTTGCTTTCTTAGTTTCAGAAAGTGAGTGGCAGTAGTCTTATACCAGGGCCTTTATTGGGGGGGGCAATTGAGACATTTTCTCTAGGTAACCCAGGCTGGACTGGAATTCGAGGTCTTCCTGCCTCAGCTTCCTGAAAGTTAGGATTGCTGGTGTGTGCCACCACAACCAGCTACACCAGGGTTTTGAGAAGTTTGACCCAAAAAACTCAAGATTTGAAAGGTAGAGGTCTTGTGGGGGATTGTCTAGATCAAAAGCTATTTTGAGGTAAAACTGGGCCATCTTCAACTCTTGGATGGTTTCTAATAATGGGAGTGTGCCTTGACCAAGCTAAATTTTCGAGGATCATTCCCCACATTGGCAGGTCTTTTAGTTGCTTTGAGTGAAAAACTCTCTTAACTTGGACGAAGCAGGGGCTGGGGATTTAGCTCAGTGGATCCACTACCTTCCTCACAAGCACAAGGACCTGAGTTCGAACCCTGGTACCAAAAAAAAAAGGAAGCGAGTGTATTGGTGCACACCTGTAACCCCAGCATTTGGGAGGCTGAGTCAGGAAGATTCAAGTGAGTTCAAAACCAGCCTAAACTACAAGGATAAATTCAAGGTCAACCTGAACTGCATTGCAAGCAAGACAGTATCAAAAAGAGGACAGCAACAACAGCAACGGAGCCGGGGATTTAGCTCAGTGGCACCACGCCTGCCTCTTAAATGCAAGATCCTGAGTTCAACCCCGGGTTCCACAAAAGAAAAAGATAAAACAAGTACCAAACAAAACAAAGCATTGAGAAGAAAATTTGTTTTTTTAAGATCTCGGTGGGCTGGCTGCCGTCGCTAAAAGGATAGTTTAGAAATCAACCATTGCCACGGAGCACAGTTATAATGGGAAAGCATGCTGTGCTGCGGGAGAGGTGGGGCGATTCCCCAGGCTCTAAAGCAGACCTGCCTAGTCCGAGTACGTCCGAGCTCGGGGAGGGAGGGGAATCCCTGGTGTGGCGCTTTCTGAGGCCAAGGGGCCTTCCTGGGCGGTCCCGTGAGCAGGGCTGGCCGCGGCGGCTGTGGCACGGTTGCGGCCTCCCACTCGCCGGTGACTCACTCGCAGGAACGAGGCGGCTCAGCCCGGACGCCCGGGTTCCTCTCCTGTAACCAGGGCTTCTGTCTGCTGTAAACAAAGCCTCGAAGACAACAGGGAAAGGGGGGAGGGACCCGCCTCCCGCCGGACACCCAGTGTCGTTTTCCCGACTTGGATAGGGGTGCAGCTGGAGCCCTCGGAGCTGGGCTGGGAGTTGGGGACGATCCCAGAGGAGATTCCAGTATCGGTTCCCCCGAGACGTAGCCTTTGCCATTCCCTGAGTCAGCCTGGCCCCCTCCCCTCTCCCATCTGCTGAGTCATCCGGACGTGTGAGCCTCGACGCCCGGGACCGAACCACTGCTGAGGGGGTGGGGGGGCCTAGCGTGTGGACCGACCCCCCTCGGCCCTCCTTCGATCCCGGGGTCCGGACCCCAGCCCGTCCTCCCCCAGACCTGGGATCGCCGCCCCCCCACCCCCGCGCCCCAGGCCAGGCGGAAGGTCTCGGCCGGA